GTGGGCATTATCGACTAGTCAGGGTTATATCGCAGTCTCTCTATGTGTGTTATATATAGACCTTACAAATGTATTTGGGTTATATTATAAGTATACATTGTCTAGAAAACTTACCAAAAGCTTTCGCTGGGTATGAACTTTAAAGCTAGGGAGTCATCACCTATGCATACGTCAGGTGGAAATAGCATGTCATTGTTTACAAACAAATGTCTACACATTAGCCATTTGCATTTTTAGCGTGTGTTGTTATCATCGCTTGGGACTCAATTTCGTGCATGCGCAGGTGACAACCCTACCACTTTAACTTCTTGCTTAGTAAAACCTGTGCGAGTTCAGACAAAGTGACGTTTTTTGCTAATAGAGACCTAAATGGTTAATTTTATTAGCGGTTGTCGCCAATATCATACATGTATACTATATGCAAATTATGATTGATTTATTTTGTTTTTCAGTCTCAGAATATCATTTAAAAAAAATTACAACAAACATAAGTCTCTTCATTTAATAAGTGCACTTACCTCTTTAATGTAACAGCTGGTGAACACTGACCTGGTATTTTGAACAGAGATCTGGTATTTCTATAAACTTATTTCTATTAACAAATAATGATAAAATTACTACAAAACATTGATAATGACTTTTATTAGAAACAACACACTGCACTTTATATACCGGGTATATATACATACAGTTTATTATACTGGGTTGTTATGTATTGCTTCAAAGGTTATGAAACTCCAGGGAATAGTGTGAATTTGGAAATTATTCTGTTTGATTATTTGAGTAAAATACGTCTCCATTGCCATTTGTAAATGAGAAAATTACATAATATTCACACCCGAAGGTCGTCACAGAGGGCGCTTAGCCCTGGGTTTAGCATTGAAAATCCATGATTACAATTTAGTAAATCACCAGAGGTACAGTTCACTGGAATTAATATCCAGTTTGAAGCTACTTGTTCGCATCAATGTAGCAAAATGTCTAAAAACAGGATTATAAATCAAACAAGGTCAATCCTAGGTGTATTGTGCATATGTTTGTCTTGGTGTTTCTGTATTGTGGTTTGTTTATTTTTTTATAATTTTTGCATTTATATTATAGTAACCTTTTCCATTCCATCAGAGGGATGTGTGAGTGCCCCTAAAAGGCTGCAAGCAGAATAACACTTTACCTGTGAATTACACATTTGTTTATTTCCTTCAATGTGACCATGGATGTACATCCATGATGTGACATACCTACATCCATGCTGCATCCTAATGGACTTTTGTGTGTCTGCAGAAATAAACAAACAATGTCACACACGGCAAAATAACAAGCACACGAGTCCACGTGACGACCTAAATAGTTCGTATTATGATACTATTAAACAATTGCCAACACCATCTAATATCACGTGAGACCCCCAGTGTGAGTTCAGTCACAGTCCCTCTCTGCGGTTCAGTGTTGCTTTGTATAGAGCTTGGGACGCCAGTGAAACTCGACAGGCAGCAGACTTAAACAGTTCGTGTAGCATGAATATCAACACAGTAGAGATGCATACTGGTGGTGAACCGCTAAGAATCATCACGGATGGATTCCCCAAGCCTGACGGGAAAACAATTCTACAGAAACGAAGGTTTGTTAAAGAAAAGCTTGACAATTTCCGGAAATTGTTGATGCACGAACCGAGAGGTCACTATGACATGTACGGTGCGCTTCTCGTTGAGCCTGATATAAAAGACGCCGATATTGCAGCTCTCTTTATTCACAACGAAGGTTACAGTACCATGTGTGGACACGCCGTAATAGCACTTGGAAGATATGCGATTGATTACGGACATGTCACGCCAACCGAACCAGAAACGAAAGTCAATATTGAATGTCCTTGTGGACTAGTGAGGGCGCTCGTAGAATACAAGAACGGGAAGAGTGGCTCTGTGAGATTTCAAAGCGTACCTGCTTTTGTATTTGCAACTGGTAGGATATGTATTATGATTATGATTATATTAACAATATTTATATAATTTCAGTTTATCTTATATCAAAAGAAAAAGTAAAGGTCCCTTGTCAATCATTGTTATGTAACAGCAACGGTAAATAAACCACACTTCGTTGACTGCTTAGAAGCAGGCTTCCTGTATTTACATATTCTCTAAGACAGACCGGAAACGGAAACTAGACAAAAACAAAAAAAATTTAAAGCGTGGGGGAAATAACGTTGCTAAGTATTATCGTCAGGGAAAGCTATTGTTTAAGCTAGTCTGTGATTGGTTGCTGGCAATGTTTGGGGGATTTTGACCAGTTTGTGACGTAGGCTTGTATTAGAGAATACGCTAGTTTAACACCTCAACATACAGCCACCTGAATTTAATAGTCACATATTCTGTCCACAGCACTTCTCGAATGCAAAAGAACGGCGCCATGGACCATTATTGTCTAGTATTTTAAGTCTAAAATCAAAACAGATTTTCGTGTCGTTTCTTTTGATATTATAAACAAGAATGCAATTTGCATAATCCAGAGTGACAGCTGAGCTGACCTTTAGTAGAAGTGTTTTACTACTAGTATTTAGTGCTATGATTCTGTCCGTTTACTCCTAATGGAACACATCTCACCACCGTCCCTCAACGGTGGTCTCACAAATCAAATTTAACATGCTAACATTGCCCCAATGTTCATTAGCACGACTATGTACGTTCACCTTGCTGCAGCATCTGTAAATACTAGTAATGAGAATTGAGAAATACGATGGAAACTACGTGAGCCTAAGGAACTATAAACCACAGGAAGAACAACGAAACTAAGAGGATTAAAAAAAGTATTGTCTTAGTTAATCTTACAGTGCTTTCGCTTTTGTTTCCACAACATTAGTCATACTCCATGTTAGTTGCCGCCGATACGCCAGTATTAACCGTTTTGTTGAGAACGGAAAACTTGAAAAAACATATTTCATATCTGCGCAGTAAAATATTTCGTTCACTATGCATGCGCAAACAAGTCGGTCTGCAGGGTGACTTTCAGTGTACCGGAAGTCGTGCAACGGGTCGGAGTTCAGCGAGTTTTCATCATTTTCAATGTCGTTTTTTGGATCACTTCTTGTTGTTTTTTTTTCAACCCTCGAAACATGGGGTTTGGTATGCTGTTTGTTGTCGAGATATCCCGACTTATTCCGTGTTTCTCTTCGATCGCCAGAAGTGGCATTGTGTTTTTTTTCCTGTTGAATGTCGTTCATTTATCAGTGTTTTTGTCTTGGCGCCATTGTTTTTTTTATGCTATAACCAAAACAACTCGATCACGTGATATGCCGAAGTCGCCCGATTGACTCCGAAAATAACAAATTAACGAAATACTAGTAAACAGTCAAAATAAATATTAGAGTGTTCATGACACAGACATGATTCGCATTGAACTACATTAAGTCCACAGGGAGTTGAATAACTAGTAATATTTTGATAAAAAAAAAACATATGTATTTCTTTCTATCCCCCAACTTTTATCTCTGAGTTCATTGTGCCCAATCACAGTCCTTCTGACCATATAGCTAAAAATACTCTATTTAACCATGGTGGTAGAAAGTCCTGATTTAACAATGAGCATTCCCAGACCGGAGATTGGGACTGTGACCCAGCTAAGGCTAGTTTTCAATTTATTTGGTGTCTACCTTATAAATTTGTTGACTTCATGCTAAATTTAATTCTTGGCCACACCACATCGTAAATGACCTCCATTACTTGCTCCCATCATGGAGGTAAAGGTAAGGTAAGTTCGGGCGCGGGTGGTTAAATTTAATGATATATGCGTGCTATGACAGAACACCCCCCCCCCCCCGTGGCTTTCGTTGCGTATGGAAGTTATTTTCACGACTGTTGCGGTGTATCCCACGGTCGTACTTTCACGAGCGAAGCACACCGCATCACTCGTCATCGGATCACGCATATATTATAGTCGTATCTACGCATATAGTGTTGTAATTCTGAGAAGTGTTTATTTCCTACTGCTGTACCCCTGAATCAAACGTTTCTGAATACATAACTGTAATTATGTAAATAAGCGAACTGAACAAAACTACCATTATTGGATTCATGAATGCTATTTGTTTTAGCACATGTATTTAGTCTGTATTTTTTTAGTCTTAATATTCAAATAAAGCAGGGTGCTGAAAACTCGATCACAAATTAATCTACGGAAATGCAAAAAAAAAGATAATATAGAAATGTTGTTCTAACTGGTGTAATTGTGTACGTCACACACAGTATAGGATAGCTTATACCGGTATGTGTTATGACTAAGTCTGAAATGCAGAAATAATATTGTTGATCTCATTTTGAAAAGCATACACTATTGATTTAAATCCAATGAAAAATGTCTAATATCTATTTGAACCTTTTTTCTGTGATGGCAGAAGCAGGAATAGACTGGTTTAGGACAGATGAATGAAAACAAAAATGGAATCAATAGGTCTAAATTGGCCAGAGGGAAAAAATGGATTTAAATCTACATCTGGGTTTTGTCCGCCTAGATAGTTTTCTCATATTCCTTGTTTAGTTCGACTCTGGCTGAGAATAGATTAATTTCATAATGAGATTTAAATCAAAATAGATTTTAATCTGATTTTTTCATATTTCCCTGGCAGTTATGTGGCTACGGAGGCAGACACAGATGAAAGTAAATCTAACAGTATTCCTTATACTACCAGTAGTATTCCCAAAATGTCCATATCAGAAACCTATCAACATGTGCAAAGCAGCTTAAACTAATGCAGAATGAATCATTTTATCCACAGATGTTGAATTAAATGTACAAGGCCATGGAAAGGTCAAAGTTGACATCAGTTATGGTGGTGCTTTCTATGCATTTATATCTGCCGACAAACTTGGACTAGATCTCTGGAAAACTCCCATTAATCAAATAAAGGATGCGGCTACCATGGTAACCAACGCTGTCAAAAATGAAGTACAACTTGAACACCCAGATGATAATGATTTAGCATTTATATATGGTACCATAGTAACGGATGGGAAAGATGAATATTCAGATGAGCCCACTGCTAATATATGTGTATTTGCCGATGCCCAGGTAGGATCACATTATGAGGCGCCCTCTATGGCGCTGCAGCATTTAAACAGAGTGTAAAATGCACAAACAATCTTATTAGGTCAGATGGATCTTACAAATATGGCAAATTATTATTTTATCAATTGTTGTCGAATTATAATGACCCTGTTTTCATTTCATCTGCAGGTTGATAGATCACCAACTGGCAGTGGTGTGACAGCAAGAACTGCCTTGCAATACCATAAAAGACACATCTCATTAAACAAGTCGCGTGTATTTGTAAACGCCAGAATTGGAAGTAAATTCAGTGCCAAACCTGTACGTCAAACTAAATGCGGTTCGTATGACGCTGTGATAATAGAAGTCTCTGGGCATGCCTTCTACACTGGTAAATCTGCCTTCACCTTTGAAGAAGACGACCCTTTGAAAGGGGGATTTCTTTTAAAATAATAATGGAATTACATACTAATATTCCACATGTTATTGTATTGTAATGAATAATACCGTTGCTGTATTCGATGTATGGGTAGCTTTTATTATTATAGGGAAATTTGTACGTGTAATAATAATAAATTCGTGTCTAGTTAGATTCTCCATTCAACTGACTTCTCAATATTATGCGTTTTATTTAGCAATTACGTCATCACTATCTTAGAGATGTGTCTGTCAATGTATTAAATTTAAGTATTCGACTGATTTTGACTGAATCTAATATTAAAAATAGATTTGTTGTATGTGAGTAATTGTTCTTTATTTACGGTAATGTTTTACTTTGAAAGAAACAGATTACAATTAGATTAATAAATACTAAAGCAAAAATAATACACATTTAACAGTAATGGTATATAATTTTTGAATGACAATGATATTACTATATATTACAATGATGGTTGTGAATGTATGTGGGTCACACAAATAGTTTGTCTAGCCCAAAAATTACAGTAACTTTCCGTAGAACTGGGTTGTACTTAGTCGATTGGCTGAGACAGTAACTTTACGTGGAACTGGGTTGTACTCAGTCGATTGGCTGAGACAGTAACTTTACGTGGAGCTGAGC